ATTTTTAAGAATAAAGGACTTGGGTTTACCATTTAAGACTTGAAAAAAATTAAATATACGTCAATTTTAGAAAGATATACCTGTTTAGTCACTCTCTCCAATTTTGGCTTCTGCTCCTCAGTCTCTTTCTGTAGTTGAGATACAAGAGCTTTCTTCTCTGATAATTTTTCTTTGACATCATTTGCTAAATGTTCTGTGAGCTGTAAAGTGTTTTCCATGGTCTGCAGAAGTTTTAACATTAGAATAAAAGCTGACTTCTCACTTGCCATTTGTCAAGTATTTGCGTAATTCACTTATTCTTGTATATAATAATACCATGATACATTTAGAGTATAAATTCAGTGTATTGGTCTTATGGATTAAGTTTTGTATATAATTCCACTGAAAACTATTTTAAGGGTACTTAGAAAAGAATACAAATGATAATTGAAATGCATTTTTCAGATTCACAATTTATATCATGTTCCTTTTTTTTAATGTTTTTATTGATAGAGCCTACTTAAGAGCATGTTCTTTTGTCTTCCTGTGATTTCCCTTAGATTATTTTTATCTGTTAAACTTCAAGGAGTGACCTTAATGTGATCTTTAAGGAATTAAATAAAAGTTCATTAAACATATGGAATTGGTGAAGAGAAAATGTTGTAGCTGTAATCCGTGAACTAATGAATGTCAGTGCTTAACAGTAGGTTTTTAACTGATCTACCTAATACGGCCACCACTTGCTTAAATGAGACAAATGTTAGTCTCCTTGAAATTAAACTATTACTATCTCCCTAACGAGCCTCTAAGTAACTGTCTGTTTTGTGCATTAAGAAACTAGAAGTAGTAGTAATGATTTCTCAAATTTTTTTTCTAACAAGCATTTGGAATTTACCTGGATGTCATCTTGAAGTTCTCTAATTTGTCTCTGTTTATATCTGTATTTTTCATCAGCAGCTCTTCTTTGTTCTTCTAGTTGAATTTTTATCTGATACTCATCACCTAGAATTTACAGAACTTTTAAGTTGAATTTTCAAAATACCCTGCAACAAGCAATCTTAAAGCATTATAGTCTTAAAGCATATATAATCTTAAAGTAATATATATACACATATGTGTGTATATATATGCATATGTGTATATATAGATAAACATATATATATATTCAACTTGCAACATTTCATTGGTATGAAAAGTTAAATTCCTTCTGCCCAAGGAAAAACCATACAGGAGTGTAGTAGCCATTTCTTTGGTTGATGTACAACAGCGACATGCTATAACTTTTTTTCAGAATTAAAATTCCCAGAGAAATGATACAACACATACCAATAACATTTATAATTTATACCTTAACAGGCTAAATACATGAAAGGGGAGGGGAAGAGTGGTTAATTTTTTTTTCAGACACAGTATTCTCTTTCATTAGTATTCATCCTCTCAAGGAAATATTAGATATATATAGATATGTCCATATTAATAATGTTTTAATAACGCCTACATACTAGATGGAGTCACTTTTTTAAAAGATTGTTTGTAATTTCTGTTGCAGCTATTCAGCACTTGCAAGGTGTTTCCTAGCGCATAGATTTCTTTTTCAGCTTTGTTGATCTTGGCATCCAAACTATCACCTTCCCTTTGAAGTTCTTCTTTTTCTTGAGCAGCCTATGAAGTACAGAAGTAGTTATTATATGGGAAATACCTGTCCTTGAAGCAGACATACTCAAAACAAAAGTTCCCTACAGAGACATTTGAGAGTAGGTATTCGATTTTAACCTGACAGAAGTTCAGGAATACTATCATTTCAAATGCTGGGATGGAGCAAAAATGAAACAAGGTGTTGTGTCCTAGAAAATAATAACTTCCTGTGTATATTTTGTCACACATTTTGTAAAATAGGAAAAGAAGGGTAATTGTGATAAAGTCTTAAAAGAAATGAGGTTCCCAAACCAAAGTTTCCTGATTCTGATCTACAGTACTGAGTAATTTTTTTTACTAGGGTAACTATCAGGACAAGGGTTTCTAGAATTCTTCCAAATGTAAGGAATTTCTCAGAGGTTGACAGAAGTAGCATGCATACGTATTTAAAAAATGACAAAGTGGGCATGATGGTACAAGCTGCAGGACATCACCTGGGCTCTTTTGGACAGAATGGATATGATTGCTATTTCTGTTGAAGGTCTGTAGTACTATACAAACATTGTTTTCTTCCTTACAGGTAAACACATTAAATATTTTTGTTAAGGAAATTCCATTATTAGTCAAGCCTGTGATCCCAGGTACTTGAGAGGCTAAAGCAGGATTTTGAGTTTTAAGACCAGCCTGGGCAATTTAATGAGACCCATCCTCAAATAAAATAAAAATGTGCTGTAGTTGAAGCTACTTGGGTTCAGCTCCCAGTGCTAAAAGAACACAAATCACAAAATCAGTTTTTAGTCAAAATCAACTATAAATTGAATTGCTTAGGTGTACACATTTATACCAGAATATAGCCAATGAGAAATTGGTAACATTTGAATTTTTTGCCTTTTCACTAGTGTTAGGTATTTTCAAGATATGAGTTACACATACTTTGATTACAGTGTATAATAAAAGCCACAAAGGGTAAATATTTGAGAAAAGGCTTGTTTACTAATTTTGAAAGAGGTGCTCTCTGTTCAATTTTTGTGTCAAAAGCTTAGCAAAAACAAGATAAAAATTGTTATATAAGTTCTAATTCCTGTTAGTGTAGATGTGGCAACCATTTCACTTGGGAGTACAGTGTAGTGGGAGAGTGAGTGGAACAGAATCAGCATTCAGATTTTAGTTGTGACAACTACACATGAATTAAGTCACTAATTTTTCAAATGAAACAATTCATCCCACAATTTGATCTAATTCTATAGCACACCTTGGAGTTCTAAAACTTCTACTTCTAAAGTTGAATTATGTTATATACTTTGGCTTAGAAAATTGGATATTTGGAAAATTTTTAACATTTTGAAATATTTTCAAGTACCTTGACTGGACATTTTTACTACATTATAGTTAAAATTCCATCCCTGTAACAACTAAGAGGAACTTGGAAATAAAGTTTGAAATATGCCAGTTCATTGTTGGGTGTTCATTACATTTCTCAGTCTAGTTTTAAAAAGGAGTTAAGTACTACAAGATACAAAAACCTATTAAAGTCATGAATGTATGCCCCACAAGCCATGGACTACTTCGAGACCACAAGCATACTGAGTTGAACTGCATCTGTGAAGATACATTGAAGTCCTAACCTTCAGCACTTCATTTTAACCTTACTTGAGAATTGTGTCTTTGCAAATGATGCCACTAAGGTGGTCCTTAGTCCAGTACAGTATAACTAATGTCTGGCAAAAATAGGAAATTGCAGGCGACCTGGGGTATGTGGGATCCTGAATAGACCCAGAGCGCAGGCCCTGCGAGTGAGTGAGATGACCCAGGGCCCATGGGATCCTGAATAGACCCAGAGTGCAGGTCTGGTGAGTGAGTGAGACAACCTCGGGCCGCGGGATCCTGAATAGACCCAGAGCCCAGGCCCAGCATGTGAGTGAGGCCACCCAGGGCCCACGGATCCTCATTCGACCCAGAGTGCAGGCCCAGCAAGGAACCCTTCAGCAGAACTCCCTGCAAAGAGGCTAGAGGCAAGACCCACCCAGCTGATTCAGGAGCAGAACATCTTGCCAGAGGGACAAAGAGTTCAACTCTAATGGCTACAGCAGAAGTGGAGCACAGCAACCAGATCCAAACAACACCCATCTGGAAGAATCTGAACTTCATAGATCCGGACCTGGTGCTAAGGTAATAACTAAGTTCTACACCAAAGGTCAGAAGACAGTGGTATACAAAATGACAGAAGGAACAAAATGTCTCAGGCCCCGAGTCCACCTAGTACACCTGCAGAAGACACTACCACTGAGGAAACTGGAAATCACATGCCAGATATCTCTGAAATAATAGCGTTGGCAGTAAAGAAACAACTGCAGAAAGGTATAGAAGAAATAAGATCAGAAATAATTTCAGAACTAAAAAATGTAGTGATAACTATAATCAAAGAAGTACTAAGTCCTTCTAAAGAATACACTGATAAAAAAAATAGAGCAGAATATAAAAATGATGGAACCCCTGAATAAGCAATTTGGGAAAGAAATACAATGTATGAAACAGGTTCAAAGTGATGTACAGAAAATTAAAACCTCAATCACAAGCTGGTAAAACCGTTTGCGTGAAAGTGGAAATAGACTTTCTGACCTTAAAGACACCATTGCAGCTAGTGAAAAAGTAAGAAAAGATCTCTT